GACACGGATATGGTCTGCCGCTCAACACGGCACATTGTTTTAAGAACAACAATGTGCATAACCAATAATGGAGGACATTTTGAACAGCTTCTTTAACATTAAACATTTCCAAACTCTCTATAAGAAACACTGATTTGTCATTTTTATATAATAATCTATTTTCTTCAACATATTTTTCTGTTTTTGTCTGTTTTTAAGTATGTTTGACCGTTAGTATCAAAGCAATAATCGCTAGGACAACATGTCATCGTTCAAATCACACTAAATTTATCATTCTGTGACAATTACGTACTCAGTTATCACAATTTTCATACATGCACTACCGTAATCGTAAGGTAAAAATAAAAATGGCTGCCATTTCCAGGGGGGGATGAGGTAGGACATTGTAGGGGGGTGGATTTGTCGATCAAAATAGCTGGAAAATACCCCTCTTAAATATTGGTATGTCGTGACCAAACACATTGTATAATCCAAAATTCATAATATAGCTAAAACATCCCTTTTACATTTTTTTTTAACTTCTGCACCTTATAAATTTCGAAAGTAAAATGCATGTACATTAAAAGAATTACAATACTCGTACTGCGTAATACCTCTCTATCTGATTCAAATTGCCGCACAAAAAACTATATTTTCGTATTTTTCCGTATTTTTTTTTCATTGGTTTCGTCAACATTTTATCGCTTTAGCTGCTAGTAGATATTGGTAAAATTTAATTAGGATCTTGAGAGTCACCATCAAGGCAACTTTCAAATATTCAAGTATGATCGCCTGAGTTCACAATTATACGTTAAATAAATAACAAAATGGGATACAAGCTTTCGCGCTAAAAACAGAATCAAGTATTCAATCACACCTGCTATTGCAGACCTCAAGCAATCTGGCAACTCATTGTTGCACCTTTCAGTACCTCCCTTGAATTTTTTTTTGCGTATTGTTGCGGTTCCGCGCCATTTGCACACCCATTGACCGTTGTCTATTATGATATGTAGATTTCTGATAGCCCAAAAGCTGTAGGCATATTTGTCCTAAGCTAGAATATAATATAGTAGCTACACAAAATGTTAATACTATAAAATATCACATAACTGAAGCAATCATAAGAGTGTAACTATTTACAGTAGCGGACAAAAGTTTGGAAACATTCTTAGTGATTTTTAAAAATTGTGACAATTTTCTGTTCTTTATTATTAAGGACTATTTTTTCTCATATATTTTGCTTCAGGATACAAATGACAATTTGTATTTGCTGTGGTACTAACAGACTAACATTAAAATGTCTTCATATCATTTTATAACCGAAAATGAGACGACAAAAGTATGGAAACATATTTTTTATTACAAAATTAAATACAATATCTCTACAAAAAATTAAAAAAAAACTGTTTAGGTAATATTTGGTAGCATAGCCTTTAGCATTCAACACCTCCTGACATCTGCTGCTCATAGAAGACACCAATTTTTTACAGGCGTCTGTTGGGATATTTTGCCAAATATTTTTCTTGTCAGTTGTCTGTTAACATGCTCCCATTGATGTTCTATAGGGTTTAGATCAGCGGATTGTGAAGGCTGCGTAAAACACTAATATTTTTTAGAGTTAACCAGTCCTTACGAATTTCGAGGTATGCTTGTGGTAATTATCTTGCTGAAATGTCCATCGTAAAGGCATTTCTTCTTCAGCAAAAGGAAGCATGCGTTCATAAATAATATCTTTTTAAACCATGATATTGCCTTCACCGTGCTTAACTGTTGGCAACTGTTACTTATTGTCGAATCTTTTTCGTATTGGACGTCTCACATATGCCGTACCATCAGATCCAAGCAAGATTAATTTGCTTTCATCGCTCCATAAAACTGTATTCCATTGTTGATCTGTCCAAGTTAGATGAGTTTTAGCAAATTCAAGCCGAGCAATACGATTTTTTTTAAATGAGAGGCTTTTGCACTGGACGCCTACCAGAAAGCCCAACATCCACCAAGCGTCTCGGCACAGAAAGATTCTCGGCACCCTCTTCTACAATTCTTTTGAAAATCTGTGTGGCAGCAAGATCTTCATGGGACAAACGTTTAATGTAGCGATCCAAAACGTAATCATTTTTTTTTTCGGTCTTTCGCACTGGGGCCGCGTTGCTGTTGATCCGTATTCTTGATTTTTACTAACAATTTTCGAAATCGTCCCTTTATTGATTTTTAATCTTTGAAAGACATCAACATTTCTGACACCACTTTTAAGTAATTCAATTACTTTGTCTCTTGAATCTTTTGAAAATTCTTTTACTTTTGCTATTTCCACTGAAGTTAATTACCCGACGCAATATCAGAGTATCGCAGAACGAATAAATACGCCAAAACTGAAATCTTTCCATACTTTTGTCGTTACAAAGACTGTGGTATTTAAAAAAAAAACGCGTGTTTTTATTTTCAGATAATTTGAATATTGATAACATAAAGCTTACATTAGTTCGGACGTCAAAGGTAGACTTCAATATTTTATCTGTTTCTTCACAATTTTAATTTAGGTATATGAAATACTTCATAATAATGTTTATATTTGTTTCCAAACTTTTGTCCGCTACTGTACAGGGTGTAAACGTTATGGTAGTCATTATTGAAATGGGTCCAAAAGTCAATAGATTTTTGTCTAAATGGCTTTATAGCTTACAACTTTAAGTGCTTTTTATCGACCACAATCACCACAATCTTACTAATTCTTATAATCCAATCTAAAACGTTTTTAAATTGGGTAATTAACGAATAAATAGCATTAAGTTTTTCTAAGTTAAGCCAAAATTTGTAGTTAGTAACTAAGTAAGTTTCATTAAATTGAAAATTTAAAACACACATAACAACAGCGCGTGGGCCATCCTCACTCTTTTCGAACCAGCAATCGATCGCAAACGGTAACAGTGGTTAGTATGTTGTTTTGTTGTTGTTCGCGTACGTCGTCGTCTTGATTTACAGAATTCAAATCTAGCAGCTCAAATTTATCGCTACAGATTTCACCAACGGGTACACCTAGACAGAAGGATATTTGTGCAAGTGTACCAAAGACTTCGAGATGTGAGTTTGAAAAACAAAAACAATATATGTATCAAAATTGTGTTCCCTATTTATTAGTGGTTTTTTTTTTGATACGTTCAATAAACTTTCACACACCAGGTGAAGCGCTGAGACAGTTAGTGGCAAGTCCGTTTTTTTTTATTGTTTGCATTTTACGAGTACATTATCAAATAATGAAATAATACCTAAGAGACAAAAATAACAAACTCAATCTTTATTTACACTGCGTTCCGTCGTAATTTGCGTCTGGCATTGCGGCGTTGTCACATTTTATTTTACTTTAAAGTCACTTTTCTCTAAAAAAATGCCGTTTTGACCCCCATGTTATAGGAAACTTTTTGCTTCATTTAACCCCCTCTATCACCCATTTAAATAATGACCAGCATAACGTTTACACCCTTTATATGATTACTCTTCGAAATATTGGTGAATGCACATATACTGTTTCGAGGAGTTTTGTTTCTAATTGATCATTGATGTCTCTGATTGAAAGCTGTTGCATCTCCTTAGTTTCATAGCTTTTCCGTATTCCTTTTGAGAACTGCACTTCTGATGCTTGATCAACGAAGCTTCTCGGAGAAACTCAAAAAAATGACAAGTAATAACAGAAGCAACAAAGGTCTCTAGTGCTTGAAACGTAAGGTCTCCTCAATAAAAACTTTTATCCTTGTCACAAATTGACTGCGCTAACATCACAGCCACTCACATAATAATAATACTTTCTAACTTTACCTCACCCTCTCCAAGAATCTGTTTTTTTTTCACTTCTGCTACGCCAACCAAGTACAACACGATACCAAAAATGTATTCTTAATGATCATTTAAAGAATCGGTTCATTGAATGAAACTAATTATAGGTATTGTTAGTTAAGCACTTCGGAGAAATAGTTCTGTCCACCCCAACCTCATAACTTTGTTGATTTATACCTGTTTCCTTTGCTTATCCCGTTTAGAAAGCACAAACTAAAGTTAGTGTATACATTTTTGCTAGGTATTTTTTTATGTTGTAGTAGAGAGGAATTTGATTTTGTAATCAGCGTGTTTTGTATACATTTTCTACAGGCATCGCCCATGCATCCATGTTCATGTTTTCATGTATTAATTTTATTATTCATTTCAAATCTGCAATATGGAAACTAGAAATCAGTCTTAGACATTCTGTAAAATTACTTCTAAGAAAACTAGCATTAGCACTATAACCGAAAGTTCCACTGCGATATATTTAAGAGTAGAATCCTTAGTATTTTGATAAAAAAAATGGATTTTGGGACATTAGTTTACATATATACTTTGTAGCTCTTAGTAGTTCTTTATTCTCTTGTCGGGCATATTGTAGGAGTACTTGTACAAATATTTGGAATTATTTCTGAGCAAGAACTTCGAACTCCTTTAACCTTCGCTCATTTGCTAGTTTTACTTAGACTTACTATATTCTTCTAGCGGTTCACCTTCATTGTGAACAGGATTTCGCATTCAAAAATGTCTATTACCAATTTGTATTTGAACTGGACTTAACTCATAACATCAACATCATAAGTTACAGACTTTTAGTACCTAATGATGCTTGAATATATGTGTATTACCAATGTGTATCCCTAAAAGCTGTACTTAACTCATGACATCAACATCGGAAGTTACAGGCTTTCAGTACCTTATGATGCTTTAATACTCGTATATGTTGAACGAAATAATTTTCTCTACATTTATTCTTGTATACTAATTCAATAATTTGGACTTTAGTTGTTAGAGATATATCAGAGAAAAATTTTTAACAAAAATTTACACCTGTGTTTTAGCTTGTTCGAAGGTCCATACTTGATTACAATCACTCGAGCATCTGAACATGAATGACAAATGAGCTAGCTTGGGACCAGCTCTTAGTCTATGTTACTTTTACTTTTTGCCTTGTGGTTGTCGGTACCATCACCATTCATACTCACCATGCTGAACCCAAAAGACGGTTGCTTTCCTTTCAAACAGTCGAACAAAACAAACGAATATTCACGATGAAGAAGCGCGGTGCAGTCAAGAAGGCGTGTGTGTCACAGTCCGCGTCGCTTGATTAACTTTCTCGGCACGGGCTCTCGAATGTCTGACCTGGAAACAATTACTAAGAACAAGAAGTAGCTTAGTAAAATCCATCGACTTCGACAGTATCCCCCACTCTCAGATCGTTGGTTACCTTCCTTCTCATTATTTTGCTGCTTTTACCTCATTAATATCTAATGGTAATGATCGAGAAACGGGTAGAACTTCTGTATTACTAAATCCGCCGCAAAACGGTATTTTGCCGTAATGGTCTGTTTCTACGAAGTGCGATGCACCTTAGCATTTCTGATGCATTTTCGCATTAGAACTGTAGACTGAGTGACGGAGGTTTTGATATAGTATGCAAAACTGGAAGCTGATTTTCTATGTTCCACAATACGTTTTGGCGCCATTTATTAAGTCGTGATGGGCCTTAGAAGCATTAAATATATTAAGTGTCAAAATGATGTCAAGTGGACTGACTCTGCACACCCTCCCCCAGCTCCTATAACGCTGATCCCATTTTTTCACGGCTTAAAAACATTTCCAATAATGAGCAGAAGTCTGTGGAACGTCAAAAACGAAGTTTTAGCGATTTTTATTTTTTTCGTTTTATACACATTGCTCCGGATCCATCGGATTATTTTTTGAAAACCAGGTTTTTCCATCCTTGGTGTGCAAATAGTTCATCCCACGTTTATTCGTTATGATCACAAGTATACAACAGCTTGCGCTAAGTTAACATATTGTTGAAAAACCGTTATATCACAAAGAACCTACGAAATGTAAAAAAACATATTAGATATGTGACAAGTTTTGTGTATGATTTTTTCAATCTCGTTGCTGGTTGCCGCAAACATTAAAAAATCTTTTTTTGAAGCTTTAGTAGTTATTTCGTATCGCATAGAGAGATATAAGTACATAAATATTTATTTAGATACGTTTATTCCTAAAAACAGGTCTTGGGAGATTCTGCTACTGAGATCAGTGGCCGATCTAGGGCGGTGTCAAGAGGGCCCGGATACCCCCGAAATATCAGAATTAAAAAAATGCATGTTTTTCCATTTGTGACGATGCCCCCTTCCGGTCTTCATATTTATTTATTATCCACTTGCCTAAAATAACTTTTGAAGTAAAATATTTAAAAATATCTCTAAGGGGTAACTATGTTTTTACACAATTTGCACTCTACAAGTTGATAATATAAAGCTATGTAAATCCTCTGCCCAGATAAAAAGTTACAGGCCGTTTTTTTATAGCCACAAAAAGACATTCCTTTCAATACTATGACACCTGCCACTCCAAAATTCTTGAACAAACTTGTGAAAATAAAACTAGATGTATCCCACGAAGCATTGTCTTATTAGAAATACAAGGGACAAATATTTTTTGACCACTTGCGATTTGAAAAGAGTCATACATACCTCCCCACCCCCCAAGGCCTATGAGCCCGATCCGAACTTCTACAGCACTAATTGAAAGAGAACTGCTTCAAATCCTATATTTTCTCCTCCAAAGGAATCGGAGTTAATTCCGATTCCGGATACATATAGAATGTGACCATATCTTTCGTGTCAAACTATCAAGGCTTGGAAAAACTGTGGCAGAAATAAGGACACATTCCAAAAACAGTGCTTGGAAAAACTTATTGGATCACGCTAGAACTTACGTTGAATATAGAAGGCGTATTTTTTGTGTAAACTTCTTTCTCATAGAAGTGAAAACGGTCAGAATATCCTTTACGACAAAATACCCCAATCTTAGGCACAAACCTTGCCAGGTGCGCACAGCAAAGGACGATGCTCTTTGCATGGAAAAAATCACTGCGTACCTTTAAAATTGTTCTATAAATGTTATTTACAAATACCTAATTCGTGTTCTGCCAACTGCCACACTCGTATTTGGCGTATAGCCCCCGTATAATGAGTAAGCGGTCCAGTTCTATGCATTATCAAGGCTTGTTCATCTTACCTCGGAATAGTGGTATTGTGAACTAAGTGAACCAGCCAAAGGATTTTTAGGTTAGGGTAAGTGTCAAAATCAAAAAACGAAAACAAATATAAATTTTTGAAACTTATCCATTTCATCACAAAAAGGTAGTACATTTTTGGCGGGTCATCATTATGTTCCTAAGGAGTATTTGCCGTAAACCTGTTGCAGGCAGTTTTATTAGAAATAAAAGTCAGTCTTCTGCAGAGTATTGTATGGAATCTGTGAAGTGAGTAACTTTTACATTACAAACAGGAATAGTATGTAAAATACGTAGACTGTAAAACAAACAACATCATATTTCCAGGCAATATGATTATGAAAACTTTGCTTGTACAATTTTGCTACCTAACAGCTGCAGAGCTTGTGCTTTTGCAGTTCGTAGTTTTAATGTTGAAGTTGCCCGAATAGCTGAACAAGTATCACAAGAAAGCATTGCACTGATGAGACTGAAGTTTTGGGAAGAAGCAATAGAAAAATGTCTGTGCAATAATCCAAAAATCGTGCCCAAGCATCCTGTAGCCATAGAGATATACAAGGTATTAAATCATTAATAAATTAAACTCGAACATGAAAATATAATCTGCTCACAGCATAATAATAATATATATGTATAACTTTTCCTAGACTAGCAGAATCTGAAAAAAAAAATGTTTCAACAAATTACTTGAAGCTCTTCAGTGTACTGTTTCTTCTAGGCTCATTCAAAGCACAAATTGTCAAAGAGGTATTTCCAAAGGCTTATATTATCAAGGCATGAATACTTTAAACAAAACACATTTAATAAGTTAGAAGATTTAGAAAAGTATGCAGAAAAAACTGTTTCTAGTATTTATTATCTGATTTTGGAAGGATCAAATGTTAAAAATATGAGTGCAGATCATGCTGCCTCACATTTAGGAAAGGCACAAGGCATAGCACAACAGATAAGGTATAACTTATGACAAGTAAATCAATAGTATCTTATTATTTACCAATATACACTTTTTCATTTTACTATCCATTATTGCATTATATTAACTAATCTCATCTGAGTCAGTATTGTTTAGTTAGATTATAACAGATCCATAAAATCTCAATCTTTGATTGATTCTATTATTACTATTGTTCAACAATAAAATATTTGTAGGAGTGCTTCACATGCAAGAAGGTTGAATTTCATTCCGATACCTTTGGAAGTTCTTGCAAAAAACAAAGCTACCCAAGAAGACTTATTAAGATCCAAAAGCACTGAAACCCTTAGAGAATCTGTGTTTGAAGTTGCAACCAGATCACATCAGCATCTAGAAAAAGCAAGAAGTCTTCTTGAAAGTGTTCCTAGTGATGCAAGAAGAGTTTTGTTACCTGCAATACCTGTGAGAATATATTTGGACAGGCTGCAAAGGGTAAATTATGATATTTTTCATCCTAGTCTCCAACAGAGGTCATGGAAAATGCTGCCCCAGTTGTGGCTATACAATGTTAGAAATAAGTACTAATTGTTTCAAACCATCATAAAACACAACTGTGATATATCTTTAGGTCAATAAAGCATCATTTTGACAAATTCTTACTAAAAGAGGTTCATGCCAACCAGCTTATGCCCAAAATTAAAATAGTAAACGGTCTCACAAAGTTGTAGACAAATCCAAAAACCAAGGCAAGGATCTTTTTTATTGCTATCACCATTTTTGCCGCGACCTGGACCATTGGAAAATGCTGAATTCAGTGAGTCTCTTTATTTTAATCTTTCATTTGGTTTTCCTTGGCAGAAAACAAAAGAACCGAAACACATATATTTTATACAAAAGTATGATATATTTATGGTAATTTATGTTCACATACATTGTATATCTTAAAAAATAATAAAATTAACAGTTAAGTATAAAACTAACATTCTAATGTTTACATAGTTTTATGTCTAATGTCTTCACTAGCTGTCATTTTTTTAGATTCTAGTGATCTTGGTCTTCTTAAGGGCGAATTTTTCTGATCATTGGACTTTATCTCCTTCTCCCTGTGAAAAATAGTTTGTTCATATAAATCAAATATGTTGTGTTACTATCAAAGTCATACAATCAAATTCATAGGGAAATTTCACGCCGAAGCTGTTACATATTTTTCCACACCGTGTCATTAAAATGTGGACCTACTTATGCCATGTAGGTTTGCTTCCATCAGATGTGAGAAAAATAATCAACTTATTTTTTAACTAAATTTCTTAACCTTGGCATGACATGTATTACCAACCAATGGGTCAGATGTATCAAGATTTGGTGAACTACTCGTTGGCTTTCCGTTGCCTTCAAGGGAAGGCCTATACTGTACTGATGTTTGCTGACAAGCATGAATACAACGTCGAATACTGTTGGCCATGGTACCAGCGTCGGAAAGCAAACAGGTCCACTTTACCCTGTTTTAGTTTGTGCAACATTAGCATCGTATGGCACAGCTGGTAGCCCCTCACTGTCAAGTCGTCTGTGATGGTTAACGACACTTTTCCGTTCACGTACCGTCGTATGGAACGGATATATCAAGCTTTGGTGAAATATTTGTTTGTGGCAGTAGTCAGATTCATGCGCACTATTTACCGAGTTTTTCATTGGAATATATTGATAGGCTTGTCTGATTTCCGATACATGTATCCGTTGGTCATGCTCACGGAGACGGAAAGCAAACATCCAATTCAGCCTATGATATATTGCACTTTCTGTTGGTATCGGGAAATCCTTTAGACTAATATCTTCAATAGAAAATGTAATGTTTTAAAAGAGCTCTGTCGATGTTTTGGATTTATCCAGAATGCAGTTTTGCTATTAAACCAACCTGATCTCCATTCGAGTAAGCCTTTGCTTCAGCTTGGCGTGACTTGCAGCAAATTCTGCCACCAATCTGGCTAGTCGAGTTTGAAGAGCTTCCACTGCCTCTTCCAGTCTCTTCAAGCTATCAAACATTGAATCTTGTGACTCACGAGCCTTTTGGAATTGATCTTCGTCCAAAAGTCCATCTTTACGAAGAAGTTGACAACCACGTTCTATTAATGTAGCTTTTGCCTAAAACATTGAAAGGTTAATTCATTTTGTGCTTTATTTCTCGTCAGTCGCAATTCAGGAATGTTTATGTGTTTTAAAACTTTTGTTCAATCCACCATAATATTTTTCTGGAACTGACAGGGAATCAGTACATGGCATTGCTTACAGTCTGGCATGCAAAATTAATGTTTTTCAGTGAGCGATAGCAATCGAAAGTTTTGCCGCAATAAAGCGGCAAAATGCTCGCTAATTGTTGCGGTCAGACCATTGAAATAGGATCCCTAGGTGATATGGGATAAGGTATAACTACTGATACTTATCCTGTTACTTTCATGTTCTTCGTAAAACTACATTGTGTCTCAAAACCACACACATATATATATATATATATACAGGGTGACTTTGAAGTTGAGTCATTAATTTTCAGATAATGATTGTAGAAGGAAGATAAACCAAAATATGTGTGTATAAATAAAAAAAAATGTTTACCTTGTTTTATAAAGTATCCTCCCGACAAGTATTTCAGTGCGGACCTGTATTTGATCGTGAGGTCTTGGAGCACCGGCATGCCGTCCCCTGTGAGGTCTTAAGTCACCTGATTCACGAGCCCGTTGTACTACATTAACAAAGGCACGAGGGGTTAGTTGCACTCGATTGGGAAACCGATCCGCATAAACATGTGCCATTTTTTATTTCGTTTCAGCCACGCAACAGACACCACTATTCACTCACGCGTTACCGACTGACACTGACTGTATACAACTGAATAAAATAATTGTAAAAACATCGTTCCAAATTCTTTCGCTTTTTTGTTTCCGATGCGATGAACCGATAAGGCGGATTATATCCGTTGTTGCCAAACACGAGCACATAATATTATGATTGAGACAGGGCGGTACTCAAACTTCCAAAGGGCTATAACTTTGTTACTTTAATTTTACCAGAAAAATGGCAAAGGAAAAAAACATTTCTTTTGATCAGATCTACTCACTGTTAAAATAAATGACTCAACTTCGAAGTCACCCTGTATATATATATATATATATATATATATATATATATATATATATATATATATATATGTTAGGCGCGTCTTCCTACGCTTAAAAATGTTAAAATAACAAAATTTCTCTCTAGATAGAAAAAGTAAAAATATATAAAATTGTGACAGCCCTTTTCTCCCATGTCACAAAATCGATTGTTAGTTCAAGTCCTCTCTGACTTAAGAGTATTGCCAATTTTAGGTATCTAGCAGAATTTTGCGAGTGCCCCATATTACGGCGCTGTCGCAAAATCCGTTTTCAACTTGCCATCTATTGCCTGCAAACTACCTCACCGCCAAATTATCTCCCATAAAAAACTAAGGAGTCGTACAAACTTTGTTGTTAATTCAACGGCACGCCGCGCCACCAGTAGCGTGCAATATGTTTCGCTGTTCTCTAACTTTACCGTCCCAAACTATAGAAAAATAAGTATTTATGAATTCTTATTTATTTTTCAAATTTGATATAGGAGAAGGTAAATTGCTGTTACAGAAAGATCTTATGTGCATTCTGAGCGCAAACTACTTACGCCGCGCTGCTCTTGCAATATTGCATTTTGCATCGCGCGCATGTTTCTTGAGCGGCTAAGCAACACTTTGCGCTCTTAATAAAAAAATAACTAATAAACAGGGTAAAAATAACTTCCGTAGAGCGTAATCGAATATACTTATGACGCAAAAAGTATGTCTGAGAAGATAGTCTATTTTTTTTTGTATTTTTTAACAACATAGAAGGTCTACATCTGGCTTTTCACCATTTATGAGGACTAAATATATCAACTTCCAAAGTTACAACCACATTCTATCCGTTTACGCAGTGGCGAATTTAGCGTGGGGCGCGCGCCCCCCTAGAAGTCTGACACTTGCATTTGTAATCTAACACCATTGTGTTACTTTCTAACCCATCATGGCGACAGAGGCATACTAAGTATAAGTTATAGCTATAGGAACTGATCATTGCGATTTTTTTATATCCTTTGGTATTCCAAATGCTGTCCCACTTTGACATCAGTTGTTTACAGCACAATTCTTACGATTTATACGTATATACGAGTATTGTGACTTGTAAAAAATCTAAGTCTGGGTAATATATTAGCTATACAGATTGCACTTAAAAAGTGAATCATGTTCTGACTGTTGCTCAATAGTAATTTGAAAAGTGTGTAAAGCTTGACAGATTTTGTTCAGGGTTGGTATTGCTGCGAAGCACTATGTTAGATGAACGCCTAAATTGGAAATAGACATTTATGAGATTTGTTTAGCGGTGCATGTGGCCTGTCCAGAAACTGCGTCGATCGATGCACAAAGTTAATACCACACGTCCCGCATTTCTTCTCGTGTATGTGTCTATTTATGTTGCTATATAGAATTCGTTTAAATCACAGAGCTGCTGCACTATACGTGAATATGTACAACCCTGTATTCCTATACTTGTTTCGTACAAACATTCATTATCAAAATAATTACGATCTATCAGATTTAGTTTTTTCCAAGGATTTCCAACGTTTTTCATGCGTTCAATACCGGTTCGAAAACTAAGAAAACAACAACTATGCCGTACATCTAAGCTCGATAACGAAAGTCTGAAAAATAACTGTCACTGTAACATCTCTATTGAATTTCAAAAACCCCAAACTGAGCGGGGCCGTGGCTAATGCTTGTTCCGGAAGTTGTTGTATCCAGCATACAACTTCTTCCCGTTCAAGTGATTGTACACGCGTTAAGGAATCAGTACCGAATACCGGGTGGCGGTACAAGTCCGCCAACGGGCCACTTTAGGTCTATTTAATATCATTAACACGCAAAAAGAAAGTGGTAGGCAAGGACCAGTCGACCGAGGCGATACCACCCGCTAGCTTTTTCCAGGGTGTCATAAATATCCGCATGTTTCCACACCTGAGCTCTGCAGTCGGTTATCTTTCAAAACAAAGAAATTAATGATGCTGGATCCTCGAGTACTCGTACTAAGAATTACGGACGTAAACTCACTCCAGTCTCGGAATGTTCGGGTGCAGGGTGGACTCGAGGGAACAACATCGAAGATAAAATTTGTTACACGAACATTTGCGGGATTAACAGCAAAATTGATGCTGTTCATCACTCCTTGCAATCCAAACATCCCGCCATGCTTTTCTTGGCGGAGTCCGCACCGATTAACCAACTTAGCTTCCCAAATTTCGAGGTGCACTCCCATCTGAGAAAGAACGCGGGAGTTGTGGCCTTTGTCCGCAGCAGTCTTTCCTGCTGCAGAGATGTTTTTCTGGAATCAGACCGGAAGGACATTCTGTGGCTTGGCCTCAACTCCAAACTATCCCGCAAATTTATTTGCTGCCTTGATCGCCCTCCCTCGGACCATAACTGGGATGACCTTCTTGAATACCTCGCCGTCAAGATCGACTTCCTGACCATCACTCACCTCAGAGCTAGTTCTCCTCGGTGATTTCAATGACCATAATTTGCTTTGGTTGGGCTCCAACAAGACCGATGCAGCAGGTCGTGCAGTTGAAGCGTTCGCTCTTACTCAAGGGCTGACCCAGCTGGTGACAGGCAATACTTTTCTCTCCCGCGTCTCGTCACATGCCACTAGCCTGCTAGATCTCTTTCTGACCACGCATCCTGTCCCTTACAGCACGCTGTCCTGTCCCCCCTGGGTAACTCAGACCACGGTGTTGTGGAGGTTAGGTTTCGGTCAGAACCCGCTGTGGCAGCAGAAACTCGTACAGGCCGCAAAACTTGGCATTACGGACATGCCGACTGGTAGGGACTCGGAGACTTCTTCTATATCTTTTCTTGGAGAAGTAACTGCTTCACCGACGCGGGTACGTCGGCTGTCTGTTCTTCGATAACCGAAATTATCCACGTCGGAATGGAGGAGTACCGCTCCTCATACAGTGAAAGTGCCTAAACCAGGGTCCAACGGCTGGTTTAACAAATCGTGTGACACTGCTCGCCAGCAGAAGATCAAGGCACACATTACCTTGTTACAAAACCTTACTGTAGAGAACACACAAACCGACGAGTCCAGAAACAAATATAACGAAGCGGTTCGCAATGCCAAAAATCAGCACAATATCAGAGTTAGGCACAGGGTAATGTCACAGCGCAATGGCAGTGTCAGGATGTAACGATTGTATCGGACTCAAAGGCCAAGGCGGAAGTGCTTGCCAGGATCTTTGCTGCCAACTCCACCATGGTCGTCCCCTCTGCCGCTGGGCTGGAAAAAAGAAGACTAGCGACGACTTCCTCTCTGACGAAAGACCTCGAGGTTATCACTGCTTGGGGACGCAACAATTTTGTACAGTTTAATGCTTCCAAAACACAGTACTGTCCCTAGACGATCAAAAGCCTCCTAAAGCTCATCCACTTTCGATGGATGGCCGAGGTCTGCAACAGTCTCGGGACCCTTTCGTACCGGCGATCTAGCTCTCTTCTACCGCTACACCAACGGGCTTTGCTCCTTAGAGCCCTTTTCCATGATGCCGCCGCCGTGTCGATCTTCGTACATCCAGAACTGGCCGATACGACCGGTCCTTTGTCCCGAGTGTGTCAAGATTGTGGAAAAATCTACAAGAGGGAGCTCTTCTCAGTTCGGGTTAACAAAATTCTTTGGGATCATCATAGCACCCGTGGTGTACCGGCATTTAGGCTTCTGCCTGCGCGGCTGCTTCGGTATACAAAAAATAATAATTGGCTATACTTATTGATACTTTTATCACCTGCTGATATAATAGAAGTGCTTAATTGTGTCAGTATTTGCACCATTTACTTGATTTGTTTAATGGGCAGTTCAGGGTATTAATCCTTAAGCTTAGTAGAAACTAGTCTCAAGACACGATCTATAGATGGTCTACGAGTATAGACATCCTCCTTTGTCTTGTCTAGCGTCCATACGATAATAAGAATTTTTTGGTTTCATGTTCGTTTTCGTACTCAAAGACATTGTTTCGTGTGGAATGTTTTATTTATTTATTTTCGGTTAACAGAGCAATGGAGTTTTTATGTTTGAATCTTTAATATTATTACAGGAGTTAATTATAAATGTTCCGTACTTATTTTGTTCTCATATAATAAAATATTGACTTTCTAAGGATTTCTGAGCATTTTCCATGTTCTTTTTTTCAAGCTGGCCTTGACTAGATAGAACATAATGGATTTAAGGAGCAATAATAGGATAAATTCTAGAAGTTCCACTGAGGTTAAAAAATGACCAGCCCCAACTATCGTTTGCGCCCACAATCCCCCCCCTAGACGAGATCCTGAATCCGCCATTGCGTAATCCCCCCCCTAGACGAGATCCTGAATCCGCCATTGCGTTTACGTGCGCAAAAGTTCTGTCATTATCTGAATGCCTCCCAAATGTCGAATTGTATTAAGTGTAATTATAGCGGAAAACTTCAATCAGGCAAATAGAAAAACTTTCTCAATACTCATGACAGATGTACGTATGAATCGATATATTTTGGAATGGGTGGAAGTAGTCTTCCACTATATTTTTTGTTGTTTTCAAAGCGATCGGCATGTATCTGTATACCTATTTATCGACAAACCAATCATTTCATTGGTGCAACTGGAGACTGAATGGTGGAAAGGCATGGGGTCACGGTTAAGGGCCAACCCATGCGCTACCACAAGGATGAAAAAACATCTATGAGTCTATGGTGAAATATATTATTGATTTTGCAAATTTCTTTTCTATTTATATTTTTGATTCGACAAAATGAGAAAGCAATTGATACTTCTTAAAGTCGATGATTTCTTTTAAATACCTTAAATATACAATGTGTCCTGGATTAGCATTTTTACTTTTATTAGAAATGCCTTTGATAAGGCGATCGTTCTAATTCCGAAGTGATCCTTTTTTAATAATATAAATATACTCCAACCACCTCGAAGGCCTAAACACCCACGGGGTACCGTGGGGCTATAGGGGAAACAGGGGGGGGGACCCCACACGAACCCTGGCGAGGGAACACGTGAGCATGCAACATGCACACATTCTGGTCCCGCCTACGAGATCCGCCGGGTGGTACCTCCGCGTTCGACAGTCTACCACCTACGAATAATTACAGCATCCCATAGTCAAGAGAAAAATTCTCTTGCGACAGGATTCGAATCCGCGCAGCGCACGGCGACTGATTAGTAGACCCATAACGTCTACCACTACGCCACTGGTGCTGCCTAGATTAACAACTAATTGTAGTTCTTCACCTAAATTTACGGCCATTGTGTACGAGTATTCCTACTTTTGATTACTAGAAGCGAAAAAATTGCGTCAAGTAGGTTGTACACTTCGAACGCAAGGCCGTCGTCAGTTCATAAAGGATTATGTTCAGCACAAGCTAGACCCTATAGCAGAGCATAGCAACTATCCTAGATAGAGGATTCTAGATAGAGGATAGTTGCTATGCTTTCGTTCGACATCTCAGAGACCAAGCTGCTGAGTTTCCCAAAAAGCACAAAACAGCTGTTTGCGAGTGGCTGGCTTTGGTTGGACTAACGAAAGCAGCATGTTTCAGTTACCTTACCCGTAGTACCGTTCATCTGGCAACGTCGCTCGTCTCTCAATACCATGCAGGACACATACGTACATCGGCACGCCGGCCGCGGCCATTGGAAGTTAGCAGACGCAAGGACACTTGCCGAAAACATTTTTGTATCGTACTAATTTTTAAGGGCATATGTACGGGACAATGTGTCTAATAGGTGGGTAGAACTATCGCGGTTGGAAGTGTATTATTATACTAACATAAAAAATTTGACATACATACCCTCCCCACCCTCTTCATCCCTCAAACCCCCAATTTTTTACTCCTATACATTTTTTCAAAAAATATCACGATCATCTGAAACGATCAAAAACGAAGTTTCAGCGATATTTTTTTTATTTTTGGCTTTTTCTCCACCGCCACTGAAAACTACAAAGCTTTTTCGTCCTTGTGTGTAAGTCATAGACGGGCCAAAAATTAGCGGACAAACAGACTGGAAGACCGACGGAAATGAGTGACCTGGTTTTTCATTATGTACGTGTCATGTATCACCCAAAAAACGAAATATTTAGTTTTCGAAATGTTTCGTGATTACCATACTTCCTGCGCCACTAGACGAGGGAAGTAAAAACAGCAGAATGCATTCGTTGAAATTATCAGATTATGTACTATAAATCTCAATTGCTATAGTTTACTAGAATTTTGAAAGCGTAACCGAAACCTTACCTCCGGATAATCAGCTAAAGCAATTAAAAGATCGTCCTTTGCCAAACAGAACAGATCGGAATATCCTAGCGATCTGACATTCGCCGTTCTTCTATTTCCTGTACGGTTACCGGCTATGTCTAGGACGCTTACTTCTCCAAAAACAGAACCTGCACCTAATGTTGCTAGTATTGTATATCCGTCATCAGAAACTACCTAGAACATCACAAATCTCATATCAAAATTTCTAGGCAACAAAATTGTAAAATTATCAATTATTTTTATAAGTTAACGGTACACGTTACTACAGATTCTTGCTGAAACAGAGTAAACTTACTTGCAATTTCCCCCGTTTCACTATATACATTTCCTTCCCAACATCTCCTTTTCTACAAATATAATCGCCAGGTGAAAATACCTGTAATATGAGCATGCATTTGTATAAAAATATATGTATATTCTCAATGACAAAGACATTAGAGCGCCCAGTTAAAATAATTTGAATGAAATTTTGTTAGATATAATCAAGAGGGAATAGTGCTTAAATTTTTGAGTGAATACAATTGCTGTATCACTAATAATGTGCTGGGCCACCCCCATGCCGTATATATTTGTCCAGTAGTCGGATATGCTTCTTATGTGATGTGCTTCAATGGCAAATGGAATTTCATCCCAAGATAACCGTACTATGTCCCAGCATGAAAGTGGCAGTTGAAAATGTTAAGGTGGTGGCCTTGAACCATTTTGGATTTTTTTAAATGGAATCAGGGATCGTGTAATACCTCATTTTGAAGCTCTATAAGAGTCATTTTATAATGAAATGTTCCATATTTTATTACATATTTGGATAATCTAAATCTGTCAGTTTTTATGTCTCATGTTTAATTACATTTTCAGATAGATCGTTCCAAAAGAAGATTGGTATAATATACTATAACGTTTTGACGATTAGTTCTTGAGTTATAAGTGATTTAATGACAGAAATGCTCAACTTCGACATCCTGTCACTATAAAGAACTCGTAAGGATCTTCAAAATAAGGTATCACATGACCTCTTCACTTTGCCGCCATCTTGGAATGTTCGACTGTTATTTTTACGTTAAAATTCATGCATCAATTTCATCATAGCAAATTTCAGCTCCGTATCTTGACCGGTTAAAAATTTAAGTAGTAGTGAAAAGCAGTCTATAATCATCAAAATAAGTGAATTAGTAATTATCAAATCGGTTAAAAAGTGACAATCAACTATAATACTTGTACTACGAAACGAAACGGTGTATTTTAACTTAATATGTAACGTACATATACCCTATTTCACGAGTATCCATCACGGTAGAATGACAGCTGATTATCTAATAATATTTCAATATTCGCCATATCGGCAAAGGACACAGAATTCTGACGTATCCGTCAATGCCAGGTAGACAGAGGCATATTTTGTACTTGCTAAAAGCTTTTTTATTTAGAAAAGTTCATTTTCTTACAAAAAACAAAGCGCTACAAACAAATGTTTCCTAGATTTACACCCGATTCATTATAGGCAACGTTGCAAACTGACACAAAAATGTCACATGCTGATCAGCTGTTCACGTCAGTAGACGTCAAAGCGTGATGTATACTCGTGAAATATATATATACAGGGTGACTTTGAAGTTGAGTCATTAATTTTCAGATAATGATTGTAGAAGGAAGATAAACCAAAATATGTGTGTAAAAATAAAAAAAAAATTAAAAAAAAATTTTACCTTGTTTTATAAAGTATCCTCCCGACAAGTATTTCAGTGCGGACCTGTATTTGATCGTGAGGTCCCCTGTGAGGTCTTAAGTCACCTGATTCACGAGCCCGTTGTACTACATTAACAAAGGCACGAGGGGTTGGTTGCACTCGATTGGGAAACCGATCCGCATAAACATGTGCCATTTTTTATTTCGTTTGAGCCACGCAACAGACACTATTCACACGCGACTGAAACTGACTGTATGTATAACTGAACTGAATTGTAATCGTAAAAACATCGTTCCAAATTCTTTCGCTTTTTTGTTTCCGATGCGATGAACCGTTGTTGCCAAACACGAACACATGATATTATTGAGACAGGGCGGTACTCAAACTTCCAAAGGGCTATAACTTTGTTACTTTAATTTTACCAGAAAAATGGTAAAGGAAAAAAACACTTCTTTTGATCAGATCTACACACTGTTAAAATAAATGACTCAACTGTATATAGGTGAAAAATTAAAGCTTCTGCCTTTTGTTGAGTACTTAGACAAAAATGTTAAGCAAGGAGGACTCTTTATACTTTTTTTATTCCCTCTAGCTTTCAATGGATTTTGCCATCATCATCAGGAGAGTAGTATGTGAGGATGTTGCTAAGTGTTGTTTACGTTCAGGATGAGGGAAACACCCAGTAACATGGTGAAAGCTGGATAAATGGTACAATGGTCAAAATTATATAAAATACACACAGCTGTATGACAAGAACAAGTTAAAAACAGATTGCACAAAGTGCAATCATCAAGTGGCTTCACGATGTAATGCTTTCATGTTCTAAAAATGTTTAATCTGTTTTTAACTTGTTCTTGTCATACAGCTGTGTGTATTTTATATAATTTTGACCATTGTACCATTTATCCAACTTTCACCATGTTACTGGGTGTTTCCCTCATCCTGAACGTAAACAACAATTAGCAACATCCTCACATACTACTCTCCTGATGATGATGGCAAAGTCCATTGAAAGCTAGAGAGAATAAAAAAGTATAAAGAGTCCTCCTTGCTTAAAATTTTTGTCGAAGTACCCAACAAAAGGCGGAAGCTTTAATTTTTCACCTAACTGGTCTAGACGACAATGACCACATCTCAAGATATACTTTGAAGTTGAGTCATTAATTTTCAGATAATGATTGTAGAAGGAAGATAAACCAAAATATGTGTGTAAAAATAAAAAAAACATTAAAAAAAATGTTACCTTGTTTTATAAAGTATCCTCCCGACAAGTATTTCAGTGCGGACCTGTATTTGATCGTGCGGTCTTGGAGCACCGGCAGGCCCTCCCCTGTAAGCTCTTAAGTCTCCTGATTCACGAGCCCTTTGTACTATATTAACAAAGGCACGAGGGGTTGGTTGCACTCGATTGGGAAACCGATTCGCACAAATCCGTGATGCCGCGGCAGCATTTTGTAAAGACTCCCCGTAAATAAGAATCATGTCCACAAGTTCAGCATTTTCGTAAACATGTGCCATTTTTTATTTCCTTTGAGCCACGCAACAAACACCACTATTCACTCACGCGTTACCGACTGACGAAAAACATAGTGATAAACGTTTCAAAATCTTTCGCTTTTTTGTTTCCGATGCGATGAACCGATAACGCGGATTATATCCGTTGTTGCCAAACACGAGCACATAATATTATTATTGAGACAGGGCGGTACTCAAACTTCTAAATGGCTATAACTTTGTTACTTTAATTTTACCAGAAAAATGTTAAAGGAAAAAAACATTTCTTTTGATCAGATCTACTCACTGTTAAAATAAATGACTCAACTTCGAAGTCGCCCTGTATACAGTTTGAGTTTGAGTACCTGTCTGAATAATAATATTATGTGCTCGTGTTTGGCAACAACGGATATAACCCGCGTTATCGGTTCATCGCATCGGAAACAAAAAAGCGAAAGAATTTGAAACGTTTATCACGATGTTTTTCGTCAGTCGATAACGCGTGAGTGAATAGTGGTGTTTGTTGCGTGGCTCAAACGAAATAAAAAATGGCACATGTTTACGAAAATGCTGAACTTGTGGACATGATTCTTATTTAGGGGGAGTCTTTACAAAATGCTGCCGCGGCATCACGGATTTGTGCGAATCGGTTTCCCAATCGAGTGCAACCAACCCCTCGTGCCTTTGTTAATATGGTACAAAGGGCTCGTGAATCAGGAGACTTAAGACCTTACAGGGGAGGGCCTGCCGGTGCTCCAAGACCGCACGATCAAATACAGGTCCGCACTGAAATACTTGTCGGGAGGATACTTTATAAAACAAGGTAACATTTTTTTTAATGTTTTTTATTTTTACGCACATATTTTGGTTTATCTTCCTTCTACAATCATTATCTGAAAATTAATGACTCAACTTCAAAGTCACCCTATATATATATATATATATATATATATATATATATATGTACATATACATACTGCGTCTGGTTACCTTACCTGAAGACGCAGCTTCAAAACTAGAGCTTCAAGTAAGCCTGGCTCACAATCTTGAAATATACGAACTCTTTTAAGTGTATCCAAATGAACTCGTATGGCTATTTCTGCCTTCAGTTTATCAGGCAGTGCAGACAGTACCTGATAATTGAGAGAAAACAGTTGAGTCCTTGATAGTTTTCCGAAAAAAAAAACAACAATAATTACTACAAGTATGAGTACGGTTATGAAAACAGATACTAACCCTTTCTTCATCTAAAGCTCCACTTTCAGCCCAAGTGTACGCGAACCATCGAATGACCCTACCTTCTAGTTCCCTTCCCACTTTTCGAAATGCCATATATTGCTTCACACCATCCATTCGGTTCTGGAAGTCCACCCTTGCCAGGTTCATGTTCGATATCATCGATCCAATGTTGCCTGAAAATACGCAATAACATACTAGTCTATTGCTTCCTAAAAGTTTTAGTAAGTCAAGCGAAGGAGAGGGTATTTTCGTATTTAACCCCTACGCCAGAGGCGAGGAATTATTGTAATCGCTGAAAAAATCTAAACTGAGAGAGAGTTTTTTTGGATTCCATATTCCAGATTCAGAAAGACGTGCCAATATTGCTATGGTAAAAAGTACATTTAAAAAACAAAGAAAGTTTTTATACTGAGTTAAGATTTCATTTGTTCAGTGAGCACATCATAAGCAACACACAGGGTTTCCCGGCCCAATCTAAACCAGGGACGTAGAAACTGGGGTGCCTGGTCCCTAGTGGGAGATATTTTCTACGCCACTGGCTTTTTCGGAGAAAAAAAAGCATTCTATAAAATACCGTGAAATTTTCCATAAAGTTTGTCTCTCAAGGAATTTTTATCAGATATATATTTAGGTTTGGATGTTTCAGGTGAATAAACCCTAAAATATTCTCATGAAAAATTGTATCCTCCCCTATTCTGAGAACACCGCGAAGCTTGATATTGGAAACAGTATATGGCATGTGAAGAAAGCTATGGAACCTCATTACAACATTATATAATAAATAATATGTGTGTCTTATCCTCAATCAGTAGCGTAGAAGCTTACCATTCATTAAACCTTTCCTGTGCACGCCACTGGTTTTGGCGGCATATTCATTTTTGTTTATAGATCAAGAAACAAAAAACACGACAGCAATAAACATTACATTCACTAACTTGACATAACATTAGGAACAAAAAATGATGCTGAACAAATGCTATAACATACAACCTAAAGCAGGTGTTGAAAGTGACCACCTCTGGATTCAATACGAACCCGTGCTCGACACCACAAAGACTTTCTGGTTACCTTGCGTAGTAAGAACAGTGTTGAAAGCCTTACTGTGTACTTCGTCCTCATACTTCGTGTCCAAGGTTGCTAACGATTTGTGATATCTTTTTTGTTGAGCTCTCTTAATCTGAAATGCTAAAGAATTTTGCCAAAAAAAGGCCGATAATTTCACATATAAATTAATAAGAATTTTACTCAAATTGATTGATTCCACAATTACTAGTTGTGATTTTAGACAAACAAAAGTATCTAACATGGGTAATTCCAGGAGTATACCATGAAAACCAGTGGCATGCATAGACAAGGTTTAATAAATGGTAAGCTTCTACGCTACTGAGTGAGGATGAGACACGCAAATTATTCAATTTATGTTGTAATGATGTGTCATAGCTTCACTCACATGCCATATAGTTTTTCGAATTTCAGCTCCACGGTACGAGGGACTATATGGAGGATGGTCCAATATTTTCACGTTTTCTTCCGTTAAATACTGCCTTGTTTTTTGGGCTGTGTGCGAGCTTGCGTTGTCTTGGTGGAGGATGATTCTTCTTTCGGGGTTGATTTTTCGAAGCTCGGTGATGACTTTTGACAAACAAATGGTGGTATACCAATCCGCAGTAACAGTTCTTTGCTCATTAAGAAAAATTGTTGCAATATGACCCGCTTTTGACACAAATGTCGCGACCAGCTTTTTCGAAACACTTCGAGAACGGATGACTTTTGTTGGCTTTTCTTGACCTTGGAACACCCAAACAGCCGACTGTCGTTTATTTTCTGGTTCATAACAGTAAATCCACGATCCATCACCACTAACAATGATGTACACATTTTTTGAGTTTCCGGAATTGAAGCGGCCAAGCGTTTTTTGACACCAATTAACCCTGGCTGCTTTCTGCTCTTCAGTCAACAGGTGGGGTATCCAACGAGAAGCTAATTTTCTTACTCCTAATTCTTCATCAAAATTTTTTTGAATTGAGGTCTTTGAGATCTTCAAGGACGCCTCAATTTCGCGATATGTCACATGTCTATCTTCAATGATGAGTTTGCGCACAGCATCGACGTTTTCCTGTATGACTGCCGTTTTTGGTCCACCCACCCTGGGATCGTCACTAAGACTCACCCGTCCACGTTTGAATTATCCATGCCAACGGGAAATTGTCGACTGATGTGGCGCTTCGTTGCCGAAAACAGACAGTAACTCAGCAAGGCATTCTTGTTGCGATAATTGTCTCTGAAAGTTGTAATAAATTATGGCGCGAAAATGTTCTCGGTTGAGTTCCATTTTTCTAATGACTTGGTGACACTTAAAAATTCACTGTAGTGAGAACACTGCACGTATTGCTGTGAAACTTTGAATTTAAGTTTACTAAAGAGTGATGTTAAGATTCAGTAGTGACGTTCGATCCGCGCGGCCTACTATCTTTCTATATGCAAAACTTAAAAGACATCCCTCGTATTATCAGAATAGGGGAGGCTAAACATTTTCATGAGGATATTGTAGGATTTTACCTCAAATATTCAAACCTATATATCTCCAAACCGAGTAATCTGACAAAAATTCCTTACGAGACAAAATTGAAGGAAAATTGAATGGTATTTTATAAAATTCACTCATATTCTCCGAAAAGGCCGCTGGCCCAGGTACCAAAGTTTGTACGCTCCTGTTTTAGTTTGTTCCGGGAAAGTCTGTGTGTGTGTATATTGCTGATATGTGCTCACTGAACGTGTAAAATACTAACTCAGTATCTTTACCCGCTCCGTAGATATATATTTTTTTAATTTCTTACATAAAACTTAATCACCTTGTACCTCGGTAGGGGAGCATCTTTGAACCCATATTTATAAAAACTTTTTTTGTTATTTTTGGATGTACTTTCTACCCTAGATATATTGGCACGTCTTTCTAAAACATCCTGTATGTGCATCATGAAAAAGCATGTCATTCATTTGCATCGGTTTGTATGTCGGTCTGTCTGAATGCTAATCATTGGCGCTCAGAAGCGATACTTAAGTCCTTAAGCATGCAGTCGCTACCGCCTCACCGTCCTTCCTTCAATGTTTTTATCGCTGACAATCCCCCCCTCCTCCCGCTTCCCCCAGAGACGAACATCTTCCTGAACATGAATGGTGTGAGCAAGCACCGCTACGCCGCCCCTAGACAGATTTCTCACTCCGCCCTTGTTCGGCTATTCGATAGAAAAATTATTAATTGTCAATCGTTTTTCAAGATAATGTATGTAACTTAGTCTGGGTACTTGATGTGAATCAGCACATCAGACGAAACCAAACCGATACCGCTGGCATGTTGACCAAGCGTCATAATTTACTGAAGTTGTCGGTCCAATTAAGCTATTTGTTTACCCAAGGAGGGAAACAGACTGACACGGAACAAATGACCTCATATTTACACAGTTATGTGGAACCCGTGTAGTCAAATTACTTACAAAGTCTCTTATTTTCCTTAGCCTTATTTCCTATAAGAAACGATGTTTAGATCGCTGTGAGGATGTTGAAGATATAACAGAGTAACGTAATTACACTCGCCTACTGGCGGGGAAGCATTCTAATTGCGAAAATTTTCTAAAATGAGATATTACGTTTTTTGGATGTTCATTTGAAAACTTCCCACCACGGATTTATCGAAAACCACTGACTAAAAGAAAAAACGCCGAGACACGTCAAAAGACTTGCCAAGGGGACAACTTTTTAATCAAAAACTACTTCACCCCCTTTAACCTTCGGTCCCTCAGGGTCATTCCCTTGAAAATTTTGAATGACAAGGGGTATCGAGTGATAGCTTGTTTGAAAGGTCTTTCGAAGTCCTTCATATTGACGTTTGAATTTTCAAAATCAGTCAATTCGCTTTCCAGAAAATTAGAAAAATCTTTATTTATCTTAATTTGTTCAGACAGAAAACAAAAACACGAAAATATCACTTTCTATTTCAATAAGTATTCAAAATATTGCCCGTTAGGAAAGTACCAACATAATCAGCAATTTGGAAGATTAGACGTGGCAACAACCAAATAACAACCCGAATTTTTTTCCGTAATCTTTTCATCAAGACAGATATCCTGCGACTGGTATTTGATTCATCACACATTTACTAAACTCCATAAATTTCATCCATTCAAAATGTAAATAGTGCAACAGTTAACCTAAGATGATTTCGATAGGCGAGATGAGTTTTGTGAACAAATGACTGCAGCGATTAATGATAATACCATTCATATAAAGAATATCTGCTTCAGTGATGAATGCACATTTTATCTAAATGGATTTGTTAATAAGCATAACTGAAGGTATTGTACCAATGAAAATCCCCATGCATTTGTAGAAGGGCATACCCAATACCCCAAAACATTAATGCATCGGCACGCACTTTAGGAATTAAAGTGATTGGGTCATTGTTTATTAATGGAAATTTCAATGGAGACATTAATTTGGATATGTTGGAAAATACTATCGCTTATCGCTGAAACCAATGAAAACCAAATCGAAGAGGGTGGAAGCCCTATACTTGATGAGGCTGAAATATGTATATTTCCTGCAAGACGGCGTTCTTCCTCACTTTGTTCTTCCAGTTCGGCAATGGCTAGACGACGAGTTTCCAGATAAATGGATAGGGCTACGAGGGCCTATAGAATGGCCTGCTAGATCTACTGATTTGATACCATTAGACCTTTTCCTATGGGGCCGTTTGGAAGCCATCGCGTTTACTCCCCGATCTAAAACTTGGATGAACTTCGTCAACGCATCATCGAACGCTGCCATGATATCCCACAGCATGTTTTTGAAAATGTCCGCCAGGAATTTTAACATCGGTTATTGTTTGGCCAATAACGGGCATCATTTTGAATACTCATTGAAATAAAAAGTGATATTATCGTGTGTTTTTGTTTTCTATCTGAACAAATTAAGATAAATAAAGATTTTTCTAATTTTCTTGAAACGATTTCACCGATTTAAAAAAATCAAACGTCAAAAGACCTTTCAAACAAGCTTTACTCGGTACCCCATATAATTTAAAATTTTTAAGGAGTTGACCTTATGGGGCAGAGGGTGAAAGTGAGTGACGTAGTTTTTGGTTAAAAAGTTGTCCCCCTTGACAGATATTGTGACGTGTCTCGGCGTTTTTCCTTTCAATCAGTGCTTTTCGATAAATATGTCGTGCGAGGTTTTCAAATGAACACACGAAAAACAATGCCTCATCTCCGTCAGTCTGTCCGCTAACTTGGGAAGTACCGCGCAGATTTCGATGGAATTTTTACACAATGTTACTACTATACCAAGGACGCAAAAGCTTTAGTTTTTGAAAATCGGTCCAGTGGCGGCAGAGTTAAAGGCTTAAAAGGCAAAAAATAAAAATCGCTCTAACTTCGTTTCAGAGGATCCTGATCATTTTTGAAACAAATTCGGAGGCAAAAAACCTGGGGGTGAGCGATTGTAGGGTGGCGGGGAGAGTTTATCTCAATTTTTGATGAAGTACATATATGCGTTCCCAACCTTGGTAATTTTACCCACCTATTAGACAGATTTCACACATAATAGATTTCTCTATGCATTAGCCCTTAAAACTTATATTAGATAGGTAGATAGATATAATATATTACCGGCAGACGGATCGCGTACCTACCGGCTGCGACTGCTGCTCCCGGCATCGACCCATCGGCCTTGTTGACTGTTCTATTGTTTTGCTTTGGTATCACACGTATTTCTGCCGCGCTACAGTATAGTGTCTTCTATGCTCTGAGCGCGCGGCCACGCCTGACTAAGTTAAGAGACAGGGAAGCTACTTTATTGGACAGATTGTCCTGGACCTGTTTGAATGACTTTTTTCTCATAGGGTCGAGTTTGTGCTGAATAATCCTTTATGAACTGATAATGGCGTTGCGTGGGAGGTGCAGAGTCAACCTACTTGATGCTATTTTTTGAATTTGAGTAGCCGCCAAGCCTATACTTATACATCATAACGCAAAACTGCCACTGTGAGTTAGTGAAATATAGGAATTACATGTTTTGAATTGCCTAAGATTCTAACACTTCTTTATTCGTTTCAACACTTTTTCCATCTGAAGTGGATCGAATACCTACAGAGTTGCTGCGTCAGCTTCATGAAAATAAAAGTACCAGCTATACAATTCCATGCAAAGCGAAGTGCATAGTAAGAGGCATTAAATGGATCGTCTCCCCCCCCCCCCCTTAGACAAAAAATCAAACACCGTCGGCGTGGTGTCTAAAGCCCGTATCGTCAGTCGTCCCTACAATTGTAGGGCGCGTTTATGGCCTCCTTGATTGTCATACTGCTTTCTCTCCTTCAAAAATTTCTAGATTACACTTGTCCCGTGACAGCGTCAGCGCCCTCCTATTGTGAAGATATGTTTTCTTTTTAAATTGTAGGAAATTTCAGGCTGATAAAACATGATATAACTCAAAAGCAAGCACAATTTGATGCAAATAGATGTTTGTGACATAACCTCAAAATAGAGTTCTGACACGGAGAAAACTATGACAATCAAGGAGGCCATAAAGGCGCCCTACAATTGTAGGGACGACTGACGATACGGGCCTAAGGTGAACTGTCAATTTGAAATCCATGTTCCTAGCCGCATATCGACTGATGTCTGTTATTTCATTGATATCCGTTTATGTTTATATTGCAACTGTCAAGCTAAAACATAACTGCCCGACATTCGCACGATGGACTTTGAATTCCCTCAAATTAAAAAACGTACAAGAGCATTTTGAAAATATCCCATTCTCGCTGTGGCATCTGAGAAGGTTACGAATATTATTACATCGTGGTCTACGATCGGCGATCACAACCAACAATGGTATAATAATAAACGGCTTGAATCTAACTAAAAGAACATAATGGTAATAATTGATTTATTCATTGATCATATGCTGAATTCCTAGAAGATGTTGTCTGAGATGCAGTTTGAAATGGATGTTATTAGTATTTGATATATCAATATTCCTGCCATAGATGTTAAAGAGAGACACTGCATTAAACGTGAAAGATCTATAAAAGAGTGATATTACATACATAGGCATTGTAAAATGGTTTTGATGTCTTATATTGACATTATGTATACTTGACTTAGGGACCAGCTTTTCTACTCAATATACAGGATTCTTAGAATATAATACACGATTCAATGTTGTTAGGTAAAAATAATTGAACAGAATTGATAATAAGCCATTGAAACTATTAGATATGTGGTCAAATTTACGTAAGTTACAGACAATCTAGCGACCGTATAATTTCATCATTAAGATTTAAAAGAGCAGTGGTTGTATTATGCCCTCCCCAAATTGATGATATGGTGTTCATTTGAAAATTTCCCACCACGGATTTATCGAAAACCACTGATTACAAGAAAAAACGCCGAGACACGTAAAAAGATTTGTCAAGGAGGACAACTTTTTAATTGAAAACTACTTCACCCTCTGCCCACTAGGGCCATCCCCTTAAAAATTTAAAATGGCAAGGGGTATCGAGTAATAACTTGTTAGAAAGGTCTTTCGAAGTCCTTCATTTTGGCGTTTGATTCTTTAAAATCGGTCGATTCGTTTTCAAGAAAATTAGAAAAATCCTTAGATATCTTAATTTGTTCAGATAGAAAACAAAAACACACGAAAATATCACTTTTTATTTCAATAAGTGTTCAAAATGTTTCCCGTTGGGGTTTATAATTTAAAACGGAAACACACAAATAACAACCCGAATTTTTTTCCGCATTCAGATTATTTCCCTTAGCAACAAACAACTAAATAGGTATAACAATAAATGCAGTTCGCCCAGGATATCTGTGTTGATAAAAAAATTCGGGTTGTAATTTGTGTGTTGTGTGTGTTGCCACGTCTAATCTTCTGAATTATGTTTATGTTGGCAGTTTCCGTTTTAAATTATAAACTAATTGTAGATTTTGCAAACCCTAACGGGTAACATTTTGAACACAAAGTAATGTTTTCGAGTTTTTTTTCTATCTGAACAAATTAAGATAAATGAAGATTTTTCTGCTTTTCGACGAATTAAAAAAACCAAACGTCAAAATGAAGGACTTCGAAAGACCTTTCAAAGAAACTACTACTCGATACCCATTGTCATTTAAAATTTTTAAGGGGTAACTCTGGAGGGCGAAAGGGGGTGAAGTAGTTTTGGGTTAAAAAGTTGTCCCACTTGACAAATCTTTTGTCGTGTCTCGTCATTTTTTCTATTAATCAGTGGTTTTCGATAAATCCGTGGTGGGAAGTATAAGTATAGATATCTTACCGACTATAGTAGCAAAGATCAACACTCCCGCCAAAAAATCGGCAACTACGAAGAGATACTCGATGTTATTTTCTGGAACAGGCGTTTCTCCAATAGTAGTTAACGTCAGAGTGGACCAATAGAAACTATAGATATACTGTCTGGCCAATGTAGAGTTCTGAAAGTTGTAAACCCAGTCGTCCGTGCCAAATCCTATTGCATAGCTTATAGCGAAGTACAAACACGCGTTCCAGTGGATCAGTACGAGGATAGCCAGTAGCACTTTGCAAATTCTGAAAATAATTGAGACACTTGTCAATTGAGGGTAACAAGATTAAGTATAAAAAATCATGAATGTTTATATAGCAGAATTAAAAAAATAACAGAGGCTTTCAATGATCACAAAATCACGAAAAATGTCTGTTTATGAATCATCAAGACTGGTGAAAAGATCTGCAACTAAACCTTGAAGGTCTTCAAGAATGTTGATGGACTTATAGACTTTGACGTACTCTCTCCGACTTTTAACTTTGCTAACTCATATATTTTTTCCGCTTGCACTGGCGTGCTGAAAAAATGGCACTCAAAAATGATGTTTCCAGGAATATCCAATCTATGGCAAAATTAACTGTATTAAAGTTGAAAAACCATTGCTTTCATATAGTTCGACGTGCCCTTTCCAAGCTTTACTTTCCCAAAATATTCCAGGTAAAACTGCCAAACCATTCAACCAATAGGCGTACGAGGCCTGTAAATTAAGTAATGAGAATGTTTTTTTAATACTATTCTTATTCAAATATAATTACGATTTTATATATAACTTCATTTCTGAAGGCACAGCACTGGAGATGGTTCTTCCACTCCTCATAGCAGTGCTGGAACTGGAATAGCCTTCAGCTGGTCGGTTACAGCCGTTTGAATGATTTCGACTGTCCTAAAATTAGTTTCCTTGAGGTGATTTTTCAATTTCGGGAAAATAAAAAAGTTTCAAGGACTCAAGTCAGGCGAATAAGGAGGTTGAGGAAACACAGGAATGTTTTTACTGGCCAAAAACTCATTTATTGACATGGCAGTGCGATAAGGAGCATGATCGTGATGCAACAATCAGTTGTTCTTGATCTGACGAACGGTGGTGTGAGTCAAATTTAGCTCCCCGATTATTCCCAGTGTCAACTAATGATCTGAACGCACAATATCCCGGATTCTGTCGATATGTTCATCGGTTTTCGAAAATGAAGGTCTTCCGCTTCGGGGTTCATCTTCAATCGACTCTCTCAATTCTGAAAATGCCTTAAACCTCGGCTCTTGACAAAACAAATCACTAATCTCCGTATGCCTGTTTATCAAGAGTTTCCATTGAAAAGAAATCACTACGGACAACCAAATGACTCTAGCGAGTTCAAACTTGCACTGAAGGCGGGTAACATGTGCCCCTGACTCCCCTCCAAGCCCGGTGCCTTCAGTGTTGCCATCTACGCTACGTTGCTAGTTTCACCACTTAATTTACAGACCTCGTATGTATACTCGTATTCGCGTTAAAGTAAGGTGTGCTGAATTCGTACGCCGAAATTATTCATCTTACACAATCCTATCATTTAATCCTAGGGACTTTTCTCTATTTTGACTTCTCATATGTACTTTAAGCTAACACTGATTTCGAACATCATTTTCCAATACAGTAGCGCAAACGGTTACCAGGTAGGAAAGAGCATATCGAAATATATGAAGATATCTGCTTTTCTAAGCTTCACAAAAAAAATACCTGGCAACCTCATTTTTCATCACCAGATGTTTGGCCAATAAATCCTACCACAGTTCTTTCACTGATCATTATGACATTTTAACTAACCTAAACACATTGGGGTAACTGGTGTCAGTTTCCGTCCTCTCAAACCACAACCAAAGTCTCGGCAACTTAAAAAGTCTATTTAGCCGTACTATTACTGGGCAGGGTACCTTCTCCACGCACTCTAGTGGTGACCACCAAAAGTAGGTCAGGTCGGTTGGTAGTACTGACATTATATCAGATTTCCAGGATTTAGATTCGTAGTAATGCTTACGCAGTTTACGTGGGTCAGTCACTAGAAGTCCTTGTTCCAGGTAGCCTAAAGAGAAAAAATATTCAGCTATTATCAACTAACTTATTATCATATACCTTCAAAAAACAGTAATCTTTAAAACTGTATTAAAACAAAAGCAAAGAAAAGCACTACACAACGTAGTTAGTCAATTTTAGACATGAATTAAATTTTGTTCTTTGACAAACCACATGGATCGATGTGAAGTAATACTTGAATGTTGAAGCAACGCAATTTTAACGATCCAAAATTAAAATAAGTCTATGATGCCCGGTGGACTCGTTTAAAAAATAAATTTAAAAATTCTTCCAGTTGACTAGATGGTTTCAAATATTTAAAAAAAATAACTTTGTGATCCATCATTTCTAGTAGATTTCCTCAACAGAATGGTCAAACAAGACAAAAATAACACATTTCTGTTTGAAGCAATTCTAGAGTATATCAGGTTAATGAATTTTGCTCTTGATGAAACTTTACAAATTGCTCCTCTCAGAACTAGATAGTCTGTTGAAGAGTTGCGTTGTGGTACCTAATATATTTGCTAAAATATGACACACCCTGTCAAAAATAAATTCTGTATTACCTTCATGAGCATGTATCAATGCATCGGCTACGTATATAAAGTCGCAAACGTAGTCCAGTGTCCACCACATGGGTCCAACGAGGCTCCAATCGTTCAACTCCCAGAACACAGCCCTGCCAACTACGAAGATGACGTTGTACAGGACTGCCAACGATACTACCATTAGCCACTGTTGAATGAAGATATTTTCACCAAAATGCATTTATGCCTTATGTAGGTTTTACATTCAATATAAGACTTTTATAAAATTGACTCAATAACAGTTAGTTATTTAACGAAACAGAAAAATATTTATTAGTCTCAAACATTTGGTCTACCTACTTTCAGAAATAAGTAACAGCAGTTTGAGGTGGTTTCTGGATATTTCAGTCAGACACACGGGAGCTGTAAAGCCTGTTATGGCCAGAGAAGGAATAATGCGTTTCTGTTTTTTATCGCTCGTATGATCAACCTGATCTTTTTAGAAAGATTGTTCTCACCATGCTACCTTTTGATAGACGTACCATACTACAGATGCATTATATCTGGTTTCTGCGGGTGTAAGACTATAGGAGTAATCACAGGATCCATCAGTTGCAAATTTATTTTCTAATTTGGAAAAAGTGCGGCCGATAAAAGTATCTTGACTCTGAGGTTTCCAAAGAAGCGTACGCAAAGGAAACACGCATTTGTTGATCGTTTTCTTAACCTGCAGGGGTCACTCAGGGGATTGTAGATAACCTACAGTTTTTCCACAATCGCTTGGCGTAAGCTAGAAGGTCCCCTGTGGATCGCAGAAGCGATTTATTCACCTCTCCATCACCTTACTTATAACAGAAAGCAGAGCTATCGGCCTATAGTTGTAAGGGTCGGTGTTAGATCATTTTTTTGGGTTGGGTTGGACATGAGCAAATTTCTAGTTTTCTGGGAACGTGCCGGATTCATAAGATATCTGGAAGACACGCAAAGGAACTGAAGCAAGCTCCGATGCGCCCCTCTTCAGCACAATGGTAGGAATCAAGTCCGGACCAGAAGCTTTGTTGATGTCGAGCGACAATAGCACCCGTCTTACGGTCTTATGCCTGAATGTTACTTCCCGGATAGTGTAGGGAATCCTTTGAATCGACGGCACTTAGTTGGGGGAGTTAGCAGTAAAAGTCTTGGCAAAAGCACTTCAGCCTTAGCCTTCGAGTCGGTTACAATCGTTCCATTTTGACACGTAAGTGGTGGGAGGCTGTGAGAAGTTCCTTCCAATCTGCTTGGCCAGCATCCAGAAAGACCGACTGTCATTGCGCTGCGACATTACCCTGTGCCTAACTTTTGTATCGTGCTGGTCTTTGGCATTGTGAACCGCTTCGTTATACAGGGCGTTTCAGAACTAAGGGATCAAACTTCTAGGGGTTATTCAGTGTAACAGTAGAAAACATTTGAGTATAGGAACCCATATCCGGAAAAGTGTCACTACGACACTACGGCCCTAAGATGCGTTAAAATTTAGAAAGACGATGAATTGCCTGAATAGGATTTAATGCATTTAATTTTTGCCTTTTGTACATGATATCGTCACAACAATTGTTCAAAATGTCTTCCTCCAACCTGAATACACCGATTTAAACGTCGCACATGATTTCGGCGTAACTGACTAAACATTTGATACTCGTTTTGAATGATTTCAAATTCTACTGTAATTCGCCCAATTAAGTCTTGCTCTGTTTCTACTTGAGTTTCGTAAACCAAAGACTTTACATGTCCCCACAGGAACGGTGTATTCCGGTTGGAGGAAGACATTTTGATTAATTGTTGTGATGCTATCATATACAAAAGGCAAAAATGAAATACATAAAATCCTATTTAGGCAATGCATCGTCTTTCTAAATTTTAATGTGTCTTAGGGCCATAGTGCCGTAGTGACACTTTTCTGGATGTGGGTCCCTATACTCAACTGTTTTCTACTGTTACACTGAACAACCCCTACAAGTTTGATCCCATAGTTCTGAAACACCCTGTATTTGTTTCTGGGCTTGACGTCGGCGTGTCTGTTTTCTACAGTGGGGTTTTGTAAGAAGGTTCTGTGTACCTTGATCTTCTTCTGGCCAGCATTGTCACATGATTTGTTGAACCACCCGTTGGACCCTGGTTTAGTCACTTTCACTGTAGGAGGGATGTATTCCTCCATTCGGACGTGGATAAATTCTGTTAAGGAAAAACAGACAGCCGACGCATCCGCGTCAGCAAAATAAACATCTCTCCAATGAAAGGTAGAGAAAAAGTCTCTGAGCTGCTCCTATACTAGTCGGCATGTCCGTAATGCCAAATTTTGTGGCCTGGGCAAGTTTCTGTTACCACAGTGGCTTCTGACTAAAACCTAATCTCCAGAGCACCGTCTGGGTTACCCAAGGGGGACTGGATAGCAGTGCTGTAAGGGACGGGATGTGTGGTCAGAAAGAGATCCAACAGGCTACTGGCAACTGCACGACTTGCTGCATCGGTCTTGTTTGAGCCCAACCAAAGCTCATTATGGTCATTAAAATCACCAAGGAGGATCGCCTCCGAAGCGGGGTAATTGATGTTCAGGAAATCGATCTTGACAGCTTGGTATTCAAGTAGGTCGTCCCAGTTATGGTCCGAGGAAGAGAGATAAAGGCAGCAAATGAATTTCGTGGATGTTTGGGAGTGGAGACTGCTGAGAACAAAGGCCACAACTCCACCGTTCTTTCTCAGACTGGAGTGCACCTTGTAATTTGGGAAGCTAAGATGGTTGATCGGTGCAGACTCTGATATTTTTTTCTCCGCCAAGAAAAGCATGGCGGGACGATTGGATTACGATTAGTGATGAACAGCATCAGTGTTGCTGTTAATCCCGCAGATGTTCGTGATAGGTCTCTAGCTTCTTGTAACCGAGATAAAGGATGTTTAATCCATTCTGGCCATTTATTTATAGCCTGACAACTGGTTAACCACCCTGTATATTTTTTGAAACGATATTCTTATCCTAACAGAAAAAGAAACACAGATCCGGACTCGTTGAGAATTTACAAATCCGTTATACCCAAAAATAACACCTTCAATATTGGTATTTATAGATTTCTTTTACATAGTGAATAGAGCATAAAAAGTTCATTTGAATGATCTAGTCTTGTTTTTTACGCAGCCGATTATATATGAGCAGATTGCTCCTAGATTCATTGCAACCTCAAGGGTCTCTCTATGAAATGATATTGTTCACACTGCGCTACCTGACAAATTACACTGCGTTCAGACAGGGTCCTAGCATGGTACCTTAAAATGGTCTACCTCTATTTCCTTACCGCGTAGTACCCAGGTTGGGCCGGATCCACAACAACCGTCATTCCCCAGCACGTAACGGGCGGCCGCTGCCCTCCTTGAGCATCCTCCTGATGGCTGTGGTCCACGAACCAATCGGTGGGCAGCGCTCGACCGCCGCCCTTTGAACAACGCCGGAATCGCACGGCCGCCCGCAATGACGTCACCGCCTGTCTCAGCTGCCCGCGCATGGATGTCATCATGGCGCGAGAGGCTCCGGGCGGACGTTCCTGTGTAAAAAAGATCGCTTTAGATCGCGAGACATTGCTTAAGCTGCAAGCTTTGTCATATAATGATTTTATTCAAAAAATGGAGTAACGCAAAAATTGTAAAAACACGCATCCGTACAGGGTATCCCAGAAGTCGACATCAAGCCTGAAACAAAGTCACAATAGTTATCAGGAAAATATGCAAAAAATCTACGGCGTATATTTTTCAAATTATAGGCTTTAAAATATGGGAAAAATCTACAGCCTCTGATGATGTTTTAGTTCCCATTACTACAAAGACGAATAGTAACGCCACGTTCATTAATTCGTGAATGTAATTATTAAATTCATAATAAATGTTATTTATGCCTTCCTTCAGCAGCAATGCAAGCTTGACATCTTAAAAATGATCAGGCTATCAGAGGGGCGTTATTAACAAATTCAGCTGCCTCCGTTACTCTATCCCGTAGCTCAGCTAAATTTTCGATTGCCTTTGAGTAATCTTTTTCTTTCACCGCTTCCCAGTAAAAAAATCGAGTGGATTTAAGTCAAGTGAACAGGCTGGCCACGAAATTGTACCAGACCGCCATATCCTTCTGCTCGGGTATTCCGCATAAAGATATTATCTAACTGAACGGGCATAGTCTGATCATATTAGACGAAAATACCCCTGGTTTGCGAAATAATTGTAAAGTCTGGTTTTATTGCTGCAAGTTGTTCAAGAGGGTATTCAAAACATGGACGCATAGAATGGGTACACCAATTTTTGTGGAAAAACTTTTTATTCGCCAACAAAGAATGAGAAAACGTGTTTTTTGGGTTCAATCGGCAGGAACGAAAAAGCTCTTCATATAAGATTTTTAGGTATTTGTGAGACCTACAAAATGAGATGGTTTCTCGCAGGCATTTGAAATTCTTCAAATTTTAAGGATTCGTACTTCTAAATAACCAAAACAAAATTGGAGTAGATTGGTAGATAGCAAAATACTCTAGTTTACCTTGCCGATATGAATCTCAAACCATTCCGGAAGATAAATGTTATTTTTGTGCAAAAAAGGATGGGTTACGTTTTTTCTTCTAAACAAATCCAAACATTTCGTATTTGTGAGTAATTCGAAACAAAAGATGATAGTCACATACACTTTGTTTTAAAATATATATAGTAACGTGTTTTTCGAATATCGTAGAGCATTTGTTCAATTACTCACAAATACGAAATGTTTGAATTTGTTTTGAAGAAAAAACATAACCTTTGTTTTTCGCATGAAGATAACATTTATCTTTCGGAATAGTTTGTGATTCATATCGGCAAGGTAAATTCGTGTATTTTGCTATAAAATGCCTTTTGAACGAACCCTATATGTTGCTCAATAAATTACTAGTGTTAGCCAGAAAACAGGTGTTTTGGGATAAACAATTAGAAATTCTCAAAAAACTACTTGACCAATATACTCCAATTTTGTTGCCGTTATTAAAAAGTATGAATCCTACGAATTTGAAAAGTTTCAAGTAGTTGCGTGAAGTTATCATCGCATTAGGAACAAGTGCCAAAACCTGCATTTTGCCTCGTTTTTCAGCCATAACATTTTTGAAATTAGTCTGATCTTTTCACGTGTAGTCTCATTTTGTAGGTATCATAAATACCTAAAAATCGCATATGAAGAGTTTTTTCGTTCCTGTCAACGCTTTCGATTGAGTCCCAAAAAACAGGTTGTCTCAGTCTTTGTTGTCAAAGTTGTCCCACAAAAATTGGTGTACTTATTTTATGCGTCCATGTTTTAAATACCCCCTTGAAACTTGTACCAATAATTTCGGGGAAATTTGCTAATCTGATTAGACCAATAAGTTTGGTAAATGATTTTGTAAAGAATCTAAATAAATATCGCCATTCAAGAACTCTGGCAGCTCAAATCCCGGTCGACATGTTTACTTTAAAACGATACTGTGATATATCCTGTCTCATCAAATATGGATTTTCTGCATGCTACTCGTGTAAGTTGTCTAGATTCAAGTAACCATCTTCTTTAAATGTCGACTGATTAGACCATAGAATTTTCTCGAAATATCGCAGATCTTCCAGCTGTCTCTTTAACATTGCTTAAAAAAACTCATTTCTTGGAAAATAGTTCCGTGGGTGTAAAGATTGTACTCGTTGTTTTTTGAGGCTACAGAAAAAACGGTAAAGGTTAAGAATTTGGAGTTAGAGGCAGTGGGGGAGGGTATATCTTATTTTTTTCTTGTGTATTTATACGCTTCTACCCCCGGAAATGCTAAGCACGTATTAGACATATTTTAGACATCACAGATTTCCCGGTACATTTGTCCTTAAAGGCGGAAGGTCGCAGTGAGTAATGCATTCAAAAGCTTCTTAATGTTCAAGAACTGCCCAAAGTACTAAGTAGCCCCAGCTGAAGTACAAGAGTACGATCTTCAAAGCCATACATTCTTGATTCATTTCCATCAACAACAGTGTGATATACGACTGATCATAGGTTTTTAACCGAAACAACTTTGAAGGAGTTGAGGAGGATCGAAAAATCTGATCTCACCGATCTGTAAACGTAAAAGTTTGCCTAACATACTAGCTTACTCCCTTTGGTGCCTTCCAGAGTTGCATACTATTTTACACAATAATTGAAAATTGCTATTTCCGAGAATCTTGTTCACAGTGTATCTTGGAAATGAAGCAGTTTTTCAGAAATATGCTCAACATAGTCTAAAGTACTTCCACGGTTTGCCCCATATCATATCTTGATTACAGCATTTGCATTAAACAATAAAAATAGTATGTCTCTATGCAAAGACACAATCCAACCTCCTCAAAATTTCAAAAACCACACCCTGGAGGTTCTACTTTGCTTCAAGCGGGTTGATAGTAGGGATACTAAAAAGATATCGATACAGTGAAACCCATACACCACTGACGTTGCAATGCGTACGAGAGAGAAACGTCGCCAGCCACTGACGCAGCTATAGCTTGTTTCGTTGCCATCGGTGCACTCTTTCTAACATACGTATTGCACGCTTCTAGTGCTTCTCTCTCGAACACATTACCTCGTCAGTGTTATTTGGATTTCTCTGTACAGTATTCCCCAGGAGTATAAGACTCAATTGCAATAGTATTGGTGAGACCACTCATGTAGCAACAAGATAGGTGTAGGCTGATTCGTGTTTAACGTACGTTCCGTTTTGTCAAGTTGTATTCTATATTGATTGAACTTCTTTCTATATAAGGAGAACACATAGCAGAGAGTCTTTTTCCATGAATTTTTAACATTCCATCCAGTTATTTTCACATTCACATTCTATCACTAAACCAATTTTCAAAAAATAAAGCCTATGTTTAATGTTGATACTCTAAACCAAGAAGAAAACCTAAACCACTTAAACTTTTAATTCTTGTCACGTAACCTTACGTATTTTAAGTGTCTATTATGTTGCTGACGCGTGTAAAATAAATGTGTTCATTAATTGGAGACTAATTTTATTGCTACCCCAAAATAGACAGCTGAGAATGAATGAGCATCGTACAAATATATAAATATTTTGAGTAAACATGTTACGGATATGGTTACTCTTCCGAAAATCAAGTATCTATGAAATGTAGACCTCGACATAGCATAATAATGGCAATCGTTTTTTACATATTATTGCACAAAAAATTCTTATAATCCCATGATTTTCTGAAACTTTAATATTTGGATGTTTAAAGCCAGTTATTTTTGAACTATCTTTAAACAGAGTAATATGAGAGCGCTAGTAGGATAGTAATTTTCATTTTGAGCATAATAAAAAACTACACGATTCATCTATTGTGAAACTTGTACAACAATTTGATAGCATGATGGAACATTTTCACCAAGTCAGAGCACTTACAATTTACAAAAATAATAAACAAACGTCATAATATAATTTGACTCGGCCATTTTCACTATGCGCCGTAAAATATTTACGGATTATAAAAAGTGATATTTCATCCCGTCCGTTTTTTTTGATATCCTGAATGATTATTCAGGTAATTTCAATTTTAAGAGGGTAATAAAGGAAAACACCATCAGGAGAAAGAAGTAGACTGGAGGGGAGTAAACGACATCAAAGAAAACAGTTACTAAAACAAGAAAAGAATGGGAATAAGAAAGGTAAGAAAACGGCCATAAAAAGGTAAATCTGATAGCAAACGCAAGCAAAAATAAAGAAAAATATTATCACTGTCCGAAAAATGGATTATAATAATAATAATAATAATAATAGCCTTTATTTAACCTGGCGGGTGTCAGCTAAAAGCTGTTTTTCATACCAACCAGGGCCAAACAAAATTATAATACAAAATCTGGGAGACATAAACATTGTTGAGTAACAATAATGAAAAATCTATTATGCCAAGAATAGGCATTTTTTTAATTTAAAGAAAAAATCATATATAGTCACAGTTAACAGTTACACCATTACATAAGTTAAAAACTAAATAATATAAGGTATTATGACATATTTTCAAAAACAAATTTTCTTACTTTTGACCTAAAAGGTGGAACAGATAAAACTTTAAAGCTGACAGGGAGCATATTATAGCGATTGGGTGCAACAAAAGAGAAACTCTTAGTAGTGGTTCTATGATGGGGCGTGTTAAGGGTGTAACCAACGAAACGGAGGTTGGCTGCATGATGCTGACTTCTCAAGGATAACTTATTATTTAAGTATATAGGGTATTTGGTCAATAAAATGCTATGAACCAAACATAAAATGTGAACCAACCACCTCTGCCTCATCGTCAACCAATTCACTTCTTTAATAAATGGAGACACTCGCTCCCTTCTTCGGATTCCAACAGAATATCTAATACAGCTGTTCTGCACTTTCTGAAGTCTGTAATATGTGCAGCATGCTTATTTGAGTGATTCAAAACTATTTTTGAATACCGAAAATATGTTATGATATATAACAAATTTCAAAAAAATAATTAGCTGTTCATTTACTGGTGGTTAGGTGCTGAATTACTTGGTCCAATCTTTTCAACTACTGGA